CTAGCTGCGCGGCTCCGCAGTTGTTCATTCTGCTTTTCCAGCTTGCGCACCAGCTCCTGCAGTTTCTTCACCTCCAGCTCCGCGTTCACCACCGGCCCGGAGCCTGTTCCTGAGCCAGCCGCCGCCGAGGCGCATTTCACCTGCTCCGCCATCATCGTGGGCCCCGGGAGCGCAGTCGCCGCAGCCTCCGCCTGGGGATGCGCGCCGCTGCGCCGGCTGCTTGGGCCGCGAGGAGGCTACGGCTTCTTCCCTGCCGCGCCAGCCCGGTGCACAGGGCTCGCTGAAGCTGAAGCTGCGCCGGCTGTCCACATCAGCACCGGTCCCCTGCCTCCGACCAGGGCTGCCGCCACTAAGCTGCTCTGCACATGCTCAGTGCGTCCTCCGGTCCCCAGGGCGCCGCGGCAGCTCCAGGTTTTAGTCGCAGCCCCGAGGCGGGACGGGGCGGGGCCCGAGGGCTGGAGGATTCGCCCGGGGGGGGCAGATGCGCTGCCTTTGGGTGGGACTGTGTGGGCGGCGGTCCTAGGCAGCTGCTTCCACCCTAGCTACCTAATGCCAGGTGCATGATTGGATGCGGCCTGAACTTTCCCGCCACAGGCACTTCCTCCCGCAGAGCGCATTTATAACCAGGGGCGGGGTTTGCTGGCCCGACCGCTGGTTTGCCACCTTCCAAAAACATTGTCATGTTTAAAGACCCGTATTAGTCATTACCTATTGAAACCTTTAGAAAACCAAAGGGTAAACGACCGTTATCCGGAAAAAACGGAAAAAACAGACATTTGGAACAAAAAGAGTGATGTTGGTAACAATCTGCTAATTGATGACAATAACAAAATGGTGGGATTTCAAAGAATGGTTGACAAGAAGGAAGAATAAATTAGATTCTGACAAATGGGAAGAGGAGCCAGCTGCTAAAGATCCAAGTTTTCATTTGAGTTGATTCTAAAATGATCAAACCTTCATGCTCCATTATCACCAGTGTTTGCCATATAACAACCGCATAGTTTTTCATACTGTACATGGTAAGCACTCGACCGCAAGGCCTGTTTGAACCACAAGGTCGGCGGTTCAAACTCACCAGCCGCCCATTGGAAACCCTATACAGGGTCGCTGTGAGTCGGAGCCTACTCTACGGCACTTAACAACAACAACTGCACAACAGAGTCCTAGTGTGGCGTTATAGGTAAAGCACTGGACAGCTAACCGCAAGGTCAGCTGTTCAAACCCAATAGACGCTCCTTGAGAACTCGATACAGGGTGGCTATGAGTCAGAGCCGACTCCTCAGCACTTAACAACAACTGCACATTTATACGTTCATTAAACAACAACAAATAAAATCTTCCAACACCTACTCTGTGCCGGACACGTTCTAGGAGCTGATAATACACGAACAGGCACCCATTACAAGTAAAATTGTATATTGTCACTAAATGCAGTCGAGTTAGTTCCTACTCGTAGCGACCCTAAATAGTGTTTCCAAGGAGCAGCTGGTGGGTTTGAACCGCCAACTCAGTGGTGCTATAGCATAAGTGTTTCAAATCTACCAGTCGCTCCTCCAAACCATACACGGGATCACTTCAAGTCGGAACTGACCCAAGGGCATTTAACAACAACAAGGTCAGATTTGTTTTGTTTTTTTAAGTCAGAAAATCTCAGGGCC